GGGAGACGGAGCCCGGGCAGCCGTCCCAGACCACCTCTGGGACACCCTCTGCCACCCCACGAAGCCCCTCCGCCACCTCCTGAAGCCCGTCTACCTCCCCATTGGTCCCAACCGCCGCCCCACGGGGACCCACCATCACCCCACAATGTCTTTCCTCCACCCTGCAAGGCCCCATCACCCCACGAGGTGTCTGCACCGCCCTGTCACTGCAGGGTCCCCCCTGGCAGCACCGCCGGGCTCTGTCCCGCAGCCCTGTCCCCCACGACAGCCAGCCAGCGTGCCCCTCCGTAGAGGAACTGGCCCCTCTCAGTGGGTGACATCACGGATCAAAGGCCACTGCCCAGGCTGTGGCATGGACCAAAGGCCACTGCCAACCATCCTGGCGTGCTGGGTACCACAGCGAGTGCCTGACCCTCTGCACGGCCCAGTGGGACACCCTTGGAGCAACCCTGGGGGCAACCAGCCACATGCCAGCGCTGCCCATCGTGGCTGTTGGCTTCCCTCACCCAAAGCCTGACCACACTGGGGCTCCTGTCGGGCGCTGCAGGCTGAAACAGCACCCAAATATTGTGGTTGCCATGGAGTCCTGACACAACCCACATCACTTACTCACGGCCCCACCTCAGCTGTTTGCCCAGGGCCCGCTCTGGCCTCGGCGCTCCCCTGGCACTCCCCATCCTCGCTGCAGCATCACCAGGAATTCTTCACACGGAGAGGTTACAGAGTGTGGTTTGCTACTGCCGTGCAGGGTCCTGCGGGTAGATCAGCAGCTCGGGGAGCTGGGCAGCAGCTCGAACAACACAGGCAGCCTTTGGCACCCTGTGGTCTCTGTCTGCCATGGTCCCTGTGCAGAGGAGCTGCAGGGCAAGGATGGACATCTCAGTCCTGCTCTTGCACCCAGAGCCCTTTGCAGTGGGGTACGGCCCCAGTGAAAACGTCCCACTCTTGGCTGAGGGACACATGTTCTCTCCTGGGACTTTTTTGCCAATTCTTGACTGGACAAAGCCCTGAGCAACCTGCTCATACTGATCCTGGCTTGGAGCAGGGTCTAGCGACCTTCAGAGGTGGCCACCAGCTAACTCTACAAGTCTGTGATTTGGGATCACTACCTTTACCTCCCATCTTGGAGGTGAGTGCCAGGGGCTGGTGCCAGAGGCCATAGGCATGCCACAGCACCTGGCTGCTTTCGGTAGCCCCAGATACTCACAGCCCCATGAAGGACTCCACTTTGTCATGTCCCCCAACCAGCCTTGTGACCCCTCCATCGGCAGAAGCTGCTGTTTCACAGCCCAGCCAGAGGCGGAGTGGCAACTCATGGCTGCCAGGTGGCAAGGACATCCTGGAGGGGACAGTCAAGGGTGAGCAGGACAGCTGTGGAGCCTCACCTAGTCGGGCTGGACCAGCCTGATGCCAGAGTCCAGGCAGACCTCACCAACAAACATTTCTTCTCTGTCCAGCTCGTCCTGGTAGAGCTTGGACATGGCCAGAGAGCTTGGGCACGACTCAGTCCTGAACATACAGGCTTCCCTTCATAAAATGTGAAAGCAGGTCCCAAAATGCAGAGGCTCGGAGGTTACAGTGGCTGGCTGTGAAGTGGGAACTTAAACCAGCCTCCCCCTGGGCCAGCAAGGACCTAGGCTGTCATCCCATCCTGCAGAAAGGGGGGAAGAGCTGCTCGCCTGCTCTCTGCTTTAAGGAGAGGGCAATAATTGGGGCTGCCGTATCGAGGAGAGTGCTTAAGTCTTGAGGAAGGTACTGCCTTGTCCTTAGCTTGCCCTGCACCTCCTCACAGAAGCAGGTGTCTCTGGTTTTGTTTCCAGCCGACAGCTCCGGAAAGGAGCCCAGGTAACGCTGGCTGGAGCAGCCAGCCGGCAGCAGCTTTGGCAGGGCTTGGCAGCAGCAGGCGGCACGAGAGCCCAGATTCACGAAGCTGGCAGCAGGCAGGAGCTGAGCTGGAGCTGGGCACGTTGCTAGCTCTTCTGCCAAAGCTCCAGCCGGTGCCGGGGGGCTGCAGGGCCCAAAGAGCCAAGAGGCAGCACACAGGGAGAGCAGGGTGAGTGGGGGGCACCAAGCCAAGGCTGGCGAGTTGCCCCACAGGGTCAGGTTGAGTAGGTCAGGTTTTGGTTCCTAAGGGCTGGGGTTTGTTGTGCATTTGTTGTCACCATGACAGCCCTGTTGGGACGGAGCACGGTCCTTGGCCAGCTCCTGCTGTTCCTCATGCAGCCCGGAAAAGGAAGCCCGGGAGGAGGCTGGGACTTGGTCTGGAGCCCGTGGCAAGGGCAGGAGCTGAGCAGGAGGTTGCACAGGTCCTGTGATGTCGTGGAGGAGCAGGGACACGGCTCACTACTCTGTTCCTCAGGGACCTTTTCCTTCTTGTGATTTCCAGTAAAGGCCAGGATGTTCCCAGGCTGTCTCCTGCCCCAGGGATCTTAATGACCTGTCTAACTCCAGCGCTTACCGTGCAGCTCAGTGTCACAGAGACACAGCTCCGGAGGAGGGGCTGGTCCCTGCTAGGACCGTGCCTATCTCCCCACCTTCACGCAGAGTCCTGGCGCGCTGCGATAGCTCCAGAGTGCAGCTCTGAGCATGCATGAGAGCACAAGCACAACCTCGGAGCACCCTCTGTGCTCACCCTCCGTCCTCTTTGCCTCTCGCCTCCCCTGGGGCTGGGCACCACAGGCTCCCTGGAGTCATCTTGTTTCAGGAATGAGTTGCTGGCTCAGCCGCATCTGGGGTGGGATGAGGTTATGTGGGATAGCTGCTTCTCTAGCACGAGTTGCTACAAAACAGAGGGAAGTGTTTCAGAGGTTGTGCAATATGTATACGGTAACCCCAGCAACAGCGTGTCCACAAGGCATTAACGGGGCTTAGCTGTGGCTGATGAGCGGCGCGTTTGCTGCGTGCGGGTGTGTGCCGGCTGTGCCAGCGGCGTGCAGAGACAAGGGGGATCTGCTGCTTAAGCTGGGGTCCCAGCTGCGATGCACAGCACCAGGCACAGAGGAGGAGGGAAAAAAGTTTTGTCTTCTGGCAGGAGCTTCCTTTCCCTCCCCTGCAATTCAAGGCACCCCCTTGAGATGCTCTCAAGATGTGCCAAAAGCTGAGCCCAGGAATAGACTCACCAAAAATCATTTCCCAAAGGAAAATTCCCTTGACTTCAGAGAGAAAAGGAAGAAACTTGAGTCAGACCCAAAGATGAAAGCAAGCAGGGCCTACATCCCACGCCAAGGCTGAGAGGCTTACAGCAGGCACTGCAGAGCCTGGCACAGCTGCTGATGAGTGGCTAGGGACTGTGATTTATGATTTTAGAGGACTCTGGAAAGCTGTCACCATCCAGTAGCTGCATTGCTTCTTCCTAATAAAAAGCCACAGTATCTCATGGTGGAAATGGCCAGTCCATGGCACTGCCTCCTGCTGATGGCAGAGTTCATGCCCTGGCAAAAACATTTTATGAAGGAATGCCAGGCCTCAATGTTTCTGCAGCAGTGGGGAGTTGAAGGTGTCAGGACTCCTACTGTCACCTTAACCTAGGTCTCTGATGGTCTTGGGCTGTAGCAAGGGCTTAGCTCATGGTCACTGCAGTCCTCTGTGTCGGAGGACTGCTCTGCCCGCATGCTGGCCTCTGCAACAGTACCCTAATGCAATTCCTTCCTTTTGTTTGCCACCACTCAGCTACAGACCTTCATCCGGGGCAGCAGAAACACGCTTGGCACCTGAACCCGCAGGGTATCAGCATTAGGATCCCAAAAGGACAGAAACAAGGTGGAGAAGGAGAGGGCCCAGGCTATGCCTGCCCCTGCCGTGACCATTCTGGAAGGGTACCGACTGTCTGCCATGGAAAACTTCCACAGCTTTGTGGGGTCCCACATAGCACCCAAAGCCAGGGTCCTGAGGGCATGTGTATATTGCAAAACGGTCTCTGCAAAAGGCCATCCCGACATGAAGCAGCTCAGCTGAGATACTGAGCTGCACTTGAAAAGGTTCATCCTTGCTGGGAGCTGATCTGGGGCAGAGCAGTTCTCCCAGGAGCTAAAACCCTCTCAGCCCTACCATTTTCACTCTTGGGTGCCCAATATGCATCTTCAACAGTCCTTTAATGTGAAAACTTAAAACCCAACCAAAATCAAACACCATGTGGCGTACACAATCCTGCCTGCCGTCCGTGAGCTTTAGGGGATCAGAGTCCAACACTGGCAGCACTGGGAGCCCGTCTTGCTGGGGCCTGGCTCTCCGCCCAGCTCCCCAACATGCCGACAAGGCATTGCACGTTTTGCAGACTGGATTTATTCTGCCTCCTCCAGCGATTGATGTGCTGGAGGAAATGTTCCGTGTCTCATCTGAAGGTAGCAGAAGGATGTCTCCCCTACCCAGAGAAACTCCCAAATCAGGGTCCCCAGGTCATCCTGTTGCCCTCCAAAAAAAAAATGGGCTCCTCCTGCTCCTTGTGGAGAAGGCTGCAGGGCAGGACAGAACTAGTACAGCCCAGCAGCGCATGGGGCTCTGCACTGGTTGTTGGGGACTCGGGGGCAGAAACCCTTCTCGGGTGGGTGCCTGTGTGCATGGCAGGGGAATTTGGGGCTTACAGGCTGTTCTCAGTAGGACAACAGGCAGGTGAGCACAGCCTGGGAAGGGGAGGACAACTAAATGCTGAACCTGAGGGTGAGCCCTGTGCTCCTGGACAGCGTCATGTCCCAGTAAACTGCAGGACATCCCCTTCCTTCCCAGCTTGTGCTCAGAACCTGCTACCTCAGGACATGCCAGACCTTTCTCTCCCTGGGCATCTGAGACCAGGAAACCTAGCTCCACTCGCCCCAAAGGGCACAGCAGCCTTCCTGCAGCACGGTGTGCAGCTGGACCGGCCTCCTCCCTGTGTGCTCACCCCACTGCAGCACCAAAACCAACAGTTACACACCTCTTGGAGAAGGCAGTGCCCCCTCCAGAACCTCGGGGAAGGCACCCCCATCTAACATCCCCCTGTGGAGCGGGACCGCTGTCACCCCTGCACACGTTAAGGTGCTAAGCCCAGCTAGGACACCAGAGGGGCAGGGAAAAGTGTAGGAACCATCAATACAGGACAAGGGGCAATGGCCTCAAGCTGCGCCAGGGCAGGGTCAGGCTGGCTCTGAGGAAGGATTTCTGTGCAGAAGGGGTTGTTGGGCGTTGGAATGGGCTGCCCAGGGCAGGGGGGGAGTCCCCATCCCTGGAGGGGTTGCAGAGTCGGGCTGACCCAGCACTGAGGGATCTGGTGGAGTTGGGAACGGTCAGGGTGAGGTTCATGGTTGGACTGGAGGAGCTTCAAAGTCTTTTCCAACTGAGATGATTCTGTGATCCTTTAACTGGGCAGATAAATTAATGACTGCATAAAAGAAGGAAACAATTTAGCAAAGGGCGTAGAAAATTTTATTGTGGATAGAGCTACTAAAGAGCTCCATATCTGACTTTGGGACTGGTTCTGCATGGACAAAGGGTAAGAAAACACATGAGGGACTGGAGAGAATTTACCAGTGGCTGCTTGGTAGAGGCACAGCTGGCTGGTGAAAACCCCGAGTCCAGCATGACTGCAGGGTGTAGTTTCCTCGGATGACAGCAGATGTGAGGAAAAACAACTGGACAGATTTTGTCTAAGTGGGATCCATCAGCGAGCAGATGCCCTAGTCTCTGCAGACAAGTGGTGCCACATCTGCTGGCCCACAAGGGCTGGACCCTTTTCCAAAGGGTCACACTGCCAGCGGGTACCACTGGCCACAGCAGCAAGGGAAGCTGCAAGGAGTGTGACCACAGGCCAACCCTTCCTGCAAATCGAGACAATGACCTCAACAGGAGACTTCACTTCTGCAGATCAATGGCTCATGTAATCTGATGAAGAGTCAAGGCTCCTCATTCCAGCTCCGTCGAGTCGAAAATCAGACAACAGAAAAGGATGGTAAGAGAGCCCTTTAAAGAAGTCCAGGGTCAGCGATTGTCTCTACCCTGCCTTGTCAGAATTTCCCAAGGACTATCCCAGGGAGGGCTTGGCCTGGATGGTCCTGGCTCTGAGCCACACTTACCCCATAAACCATTCAGCAAAGGGAGGGCTCCAACTTCATCTCTGCAAGGATCATGTATTTTCAGGAGCAGCCACAGCACTTTTTCTTCTCCCTGAAGGCAAGAGCTACTTGAAATATCCACTGCATGAGCCCCACACAGCGTGGTGTTGGCCAGGTGACAGTGCTGGTGTGTTTGCTGAGGGAGCTGGGCCAGCTACCAGCACTCAGGGGTGCTCCTGGAATGGGCTGAGGCTTTCAACATACAGCAGCCACCCTCCTGCCTTTCTGTTGACATGAGCTCTCCATAAGGAAATCTGTCTGGGCCTAAAGCTCCAGGGGAAGTGGACTTTGCATGGACCTCAGAGCAGCACAGAAGCCAGTGAGTGTTGAGATGACGGGCAACAGCCAGGCTGGGAAGTGTGCACATCAAACCTGGGAGTCCAGCCCGCCTGCCCCATGCTGGCCGTGCCCAGGGGGCATTTGTCCTGTCCTGTCCTGAACCATTCCTAATGAACGCTCCTAGTCTGAGATAGGCAAGGGTAGCAACAGCTTAGCTTGACCCACACAGTACCCCGCTTTGTCTTGTCCTCCCCTAACCTGCACCCACCGTAGTCTGGAGAAAGGGTTGGTTCTGGTTTCTATACATCAAAACATCTGGTAGGGGGATAAAGACTTCCCAGGCTTCCTCTCCTCTGCACACCAGCAGTGTGCAGTGTCAGGGACCTGTCCCAAAAAGGTGCGAGGGGCCAAGGCAGGCGCCACTGCTCAGGGCACCGGCCACACCGGGGAGGCAGTGGCTGCGCAGGTGCCACGACTGCCAAGTGACAAATGGTGTCAGGGACGTCCGCGTTGGTGGCGAGGCCTGTCAGGACGTGTGTGTGGCTCCTATCCTGGGCTCTGAGGTTAGCTGGCTGCTAGGCAGATCTGGGCTGGCTGGCAGCCCCGGCCTCAGCGCTCAGACAGGAATCTGGATCATCCCCGAGGGCAGGGAAAGGTGAGGCGCTGCAACACGGCGGCCCAGACAGCTCTCTGCCCCTCACCACCAGCGCAGGGTGCTGTGACACCAGGCACTGGCTATGTGCCCCAGTGTCTACTACAGGATTTTTCTGCTCTCAGGAGACTGTGCTGTGGACTAATGTGGATCTGGCAACCCAGGGAATGGAAAGGTTTCAGGACATGCTGCATCCCAGCGCTCCTGATGGGAAAGCTGTGCTGGGGGCACCCCAGGCTGCTGTGAAGGAGGAGCAGGTCAAACTATGCCGCCTTACAGAGTACAGGCTGGTGGTGGACTTGGCTTGAGAGTGCACAGTGGGAAGCTCTACAGGGACAGGGCAATCCTGAGGTTACTCCCTGACCACCTGCTGAAGCCCCTGGGCATGATTCAAAGACTGACAGGATGTAGGCAGATGGGAAATTTAGTTTTCAGGGTGCAGGGAACAGCAGAGACACAGCCTTGTTCTTCCCCACAGGCTCTCCCAGAAAGTTACTGCAGTACTGATGTGCAGGCGGCCAGGAAGGTACAGCCCTTTCCTATAGAAAGCACTCGAGTGTTCTCTAGCAACATGCCTACCTCAGGTTTGCCATTATTGTCACCTCCCTTTGGTTGGGTAGCAAGAAATGTCTCACTGCAGTCTGACAGCAAGCACACAGTGCAGGGATGAGCCCCCTCAGCACTCCACAGTCCTAACACTGCAGTCCTTAACCAGCAGCGGCCCTGGGCACATCCCTCTTAGGGAAAACTGTTCCTCCTTGACAAGGAGAATGGAACTGGGTGCAGGGGCACTCCTGGCTTAGCAAGAGACAGAAACAATGATGCAGCAGGGTTTTTACTGCCTCTCAGCTGGTTCTGCTGGAAGATGGACTGCATCAGGTAAAGGTGACACTGCTACCTCCAGGGAAAAAGACAAGCCACTGGAGTCAGGATCTTTGAACACAACATACAAATATAAAGAGAACCTCTTGCCTTGTCCCCAGAGGCTATGGCTTTGGAAAGCTGATCACTAGGCCACTGTGGTGTTTGTCCTTAGGTCCTTAAAGCATGGATCATGTCTGCCCACATGCTGCTTGCTGGTGCATTTTCTGTGGTGTGGCTCGGATGTGCTCTCTCTGAGCTGGGGCTGAGAGACATGAGGTTCTCCGCTGCTCTTACTTACAAACACAGCAGGAATCTTAGAAAAAAGTTCCAGGTCTCGTTCCACACATCTGTCTTGCTGGCAGCTTTTTCTTTTTACCTTGTGCCCAGAATAAAGATTCTTCTTCCTGTTATCTCTGGGATTGTCTGTGGACAAGGGATAGTGTTGAGAGTTGCTGGAGTTATTCTTAGGAGGCCCACGAAGGGCCGTGCTCCCAAGGCGAGTCTGAGTGACAGGAATCTCATCCATGGACTCGGCGGACTCTGAGTGATAGTCAGCTGGGGGACCCGCTGCCTGGATGGGGCCGATGCTGCCGGGGGGCACAGCAGCTCTCAGAGGAAAAGCTGGCACTGAGAGACGAAGGCTGTGGGAAGATGAGGTGGCAGCAGCCGTGGCTGAGAAGTCTACAGATGGAAACAAAGGGAGAAGAAAGCTTAAGGAGAGAGAGGGACAGATCCCTCAGCCCCACAAAGACATCAACAAGTCCAGGAACTCTGATATGGCTGATCCACTACTGCTAAAGAAAATCATACATTTATTTATGCAAAAGTAGATATGAAAATGTACAAAATTCTACATTCAGCAGTGCGTCTAATTCTGATCATTTTAGAGTATCTCCAAGAACTAATTTTCCCTTCTTAGGCAAGTTAATTTTCTGTCACTGCTGGGTTTTCATGACACACTTTTCTGTCTGCCAGCAACCAGAACTGCAGTCCTGAAGCAGAGAAGCTGACTGGTGCACTCTCACCTGATTGGGGGTCTGGGAAAGAGGGCCAAGGTCTAGGGTGTGGTTTAGACCTGCTCTCCATTGCTGAGGAAGAAGCTTTATGCGTCTTCTTTCTTCTTTTTTTCTGTTGCTGTGAAAGCAAGTGGCCCAAGAGAAGGGAAGTCACTTCATCAGACCGAAGTAATGAGACAGACAGGTTTTTTTTGATTGCTACCTCTTTTTAATTCCTCCTATTCTTAATAATGAGCACTGGGTATGACCAAAGACCAAGAATATTCTACAATGTGAGTTACTATAAAGCAATGATAGAGAACAGGTATTTAATGCACACAATTATCTGCATACAGTGATCCTCTGAGTGTAGGTACCTTTAAGCTGTTGTCTCATACAGCTCCAGGATGTATGAGATACTGGGGGACAAATCCATTTGAGCCAAACTAGAAGTAGGGACTAAAAGTCACATAACACAGGACATCTCAAGAGAGAGACAGCTCTTGTCCAAAATACAAGTATAGTTGAAATGGAATTTTTCTTATCATCTAGATGGTAAGAACTTTAATTAATAAACTTGGAGAAAAGGGGGAGAGCACCACCACCTGCCATTTGAGCAGGGTGGGAGAGTATCTGGATATATAAATATATTAAATATATAATATATATAATATATAGATAGATGTATATAATGTGGATTTGCATGAATATCAAGATCACAGAAAACTTGACTAGACAGCTGTTTCATACACTCAAGCTTCATATCCACACACACCATCTTTCCCTGGGCAGATGCTTTCACATCTGTATCTGAATGTATAAACTGGTGGATTTTGCTCGACAGAAACATGCACAGCCTGTTACATCAACAACGTAGTATAGATACAGTCACTGAACGGCACTGGAGCAGCAAGACATTGTACTGCAGCTGTATTACAGCTGAGCCGTGAGCTCACGAGGGAACTGCAGAATATATCTGATGGCATGTGTGAGCCGAGACACGCGTCATGTGGATGCAGCGACTGCAGGGCACGGCCATACCTGCAGGTACACGCCGAGGACAGGAAGGGGGTGAGCAGAGTCTGCACTAGAGTGAGCGTGCACCCATGCACCGTGGTGAACTGTCAGCAGCAGAGATCTCCTGCTTACCTGAGAAGGGACTGCAAAGTGAAGAGATGGGAGGTCAGGAGAGGAGCTCTGCTCAGGGTCAGCTTCGTCATTGCGGACATAGAGCTTTGAAAAGCTAAAACACACGGCAGATATACAAGATCCTTCTCTTAGACACGACTTTGCTGCCTACTTTGCTTGCGCATAGACACCAGCCTGACCGAAGCATTCCCTGCCTTGCACAGCACTTCCAGAAAAAGGGTAACTTTTCCTGCACAACTGTGCAAAATACGAAGGATTTCCTCTCCCTTCCCCAGGAACATACATTAATAGGCAAGGATTAATTAAGACACAAGGATGCTGTTTTCCCATGAGTGCTTGCCTGTGTTAAAAACTTTGCTGTTGTGATTCACGTTTTGACAAACTGAAATCATATAACTATAATGAGCTCAGTACAGGAATTACAGGACAAATCAGGCAGTAATTTTAATATAAAACAGCCTAAACAGATTATTCTAGAAAAGATATTCTTCCAGGGTAGGGAAGGCAAGTACTTCTGCAGATATTTAACCTCCTGAAACTCTAAGATTTCACCATGCCTTGGTCAAAACATTGGTGCTCCCTATCCTTCTAAGTACTTTTGTCTGAGGGTCCATCAGTGACTTTGATGACAATTTCCCATTCACCATACATGCTGCTGGGAGACTGCTATCTACAACTTTACTCACCCTTTTCCTGAAGTTACTGTTGAGAATTCCTCTACTTGAATACCAGGGTCTGTATAGCCAGGGTTCCCTGAAAAAACTTCTGCTTCCTGAAAAAACAAAAACAAAAAAAGTAACATTTTCAGACCAGTATGGACACAGAGTGGACAAGAGGGATTTTCACTACAGAGATGTCTTCTTCCTCCTTCCTCAGCCATATGCCAGATATTTTCTGTCCTTACAGCTACCACAGCTGAAACTCGGCAGGAGTCTGCTTCTTAGGAAGACAGAAAACCAAGACTGAGACAATTAGAAGTCCCTGATTCATTCATTTAGTCCATACAGTATTTCATATGACTCAAAATCAAATCAGAGCACACTTATGGAGACCAGCTTAATCATTTCTTGGGACCACATTCAAAGTATCACTTAAAGCCCTCATCAGTTATACAGTTCAACCATAAGAGCTAAGCAGTGAATGTAAAAAACTTTTGAATTCAAAATGGTGGTGAAGAAAATGAAAACATGCAACATACAAGAAAAAACATAATGTATTTTCTGCTTCTTGTGTGAATCCTGTATGGATAATACATGCTGTTTTTTCAAAAAGAATGTGATATATTGCTCATTTGCCTCAGGTATAGCTGAATTCAAAGTAATGCTATCCTGAACTTTAAAATTCCATACTTTCATAAACATAAGAAGACTCAGTGAATAAACCTCCTAAATCCAAGTATCTGCATTACAGAAAAGGGCTCCCAGTTTTCCCTCAAAAGGACACAGTTAAAATGGTCAGAGTACCAATAGGGTATGAAGCCCTATTGTCAAAAAGGATAAACCCTGCTCAGGAGAACCTTGACACTACTTTTCAGATGCTCTTAAACCTGAATACTTAGCAAGACAACTTCCTCTTAAATATTTTAGTGTGCGGTGACTATAAAGACATATAAACATTTTAAGGCGACTTTTAGGTGGTAAAGACAGACAGATTTAAAATGCAATAGGTATTAGCTTCCAAAAAATAAACAAACTCAGGAAGACCTATTCATCTGAACAGCCTGAACAGCAAACTTGGGAAAATGAAGTCAAAATTGGACATCCCACAAAAGGGTTCCTGAGAGACCCAGGGCCTCTGCACTTCAACAAATTCATAAACAATTGACAAAAGAGCAGAACAGTGAGATGAAGTCTGGTGATGATAACTCCTCACGTAAGGCAATAAAAATGAAAGCCAATCACAAAGACTTGCAGAAGATTCTTGAAATATTGAAATACAGGGTGATAAAAAGGCACACAAACATCAGTACTGCTAGATGTAAAGATGTAAAGTGATGCATGTGGGAAAAGTAGTATAAACTTCACATACAAAGCAATGGTCTCTGAACTAGAAAAGAACTCATGGAGCTGTACATTCAGTGGCAGCCAAGAAATCATTTCAGATGATAGGACTGAAAAGGGAAAAACAAAACCAAAAAAAAAAAAAAAAAGTTTTATATTACTGAATAAATTCAGCAAATTCAGTAGCAGCCTGGACACTGGATTCTCCATAGTGTTCCAGCATCTTCCCCACAGAAGATCTGGAAGAAGGTACAGAGAAGAGTGACAGGACCAATGAAAGCCATGCAGCAGTTTCTGTGCAAGAAAGAGTGTAATGGGTCAGGGTTCTTCAGTCAGGAGAGGAAATACTCAGGGTGGGTTTGAGTGGACAAAGTAAATGGGGAATAATCGTTTTCCATTTAGGGAGCATTTCCTCCATTTAGGGAGCATCAAATAAAAAAAAAATCAGGTAGTAGTTTCAAAAGAAACAGAAGAAAAGCTTCATTTGTGACACAGCATGGAAATAAGCTGTAGCACTCTCTGCCATAGAATGCTTGCAGGTGCTAAATGTTACATGGATTCAAGAAGAAATGAGAAAACTTTGGGTGAAAAACCAGCAAACACAAAGCCATGTGAAGCTTTGTGCTCCAGAAGCCCCTGACACATATCACCAAGTCCTGGAGCTCCTGCTTTCTCTCAGCATCCACAACTGGCCTGATCAACTTTGGCCAGCCTTCTCTACATGCCAGAAGAGATACTTCCAAAATTACTAGCTGCTTTTGAACATCTTGGCATCAACGTCCAGAGTCTCAGAACTCACAATCTAACAGAATGTGTGACTGTTAGATAAGAGAGTGCCAAACTGGAAAGACTTCGGGACTGTTGCATTTTGTGACATGCTCTAGGTTTCATTGGTCTTGTAAAGGAAAAAAAGAGGCAGAGAGGAATTTGTAGCTGTTTTATAGGTGGTAACATAAAATTTAAAGGGTTAGCAGTCCTAAACATTAGAACTTTCTGATTTGAGAATTATGCTATTTGGAGCTATTACAGGCAGGGTTTATTCAAGTGCAGGACTAATAACCCGCAGAAGTTGACCACATATATTTCAAATAGAACATGTAACTCAAGTCAGATCATTGCTCATCACCAGCTGAACACCAAATGTACATAAACGTTTCCTCACATCTCCTCAGGGATCAAATTCTTAACATGTACATTCAAGCCTCATGCACCTGCATCACAAACGAAGGAGACCAGTGACAAATTCGTGTCACTAAGCATACAGGTGATAGGTCCTTTCAGAGGAAAGCACGCCGTTGCTGAAATGAGCTGCAACAGGAGACATCCTCATAAGACTGTGTGGAGTAATTGTGAAACTGTGATGCTGAGTAACTGAAAACGATCAGGATTCAGTGTCCACAGCATACAAACAGGACTGCAGGACTGGAATGTCAAATGAGATTAATAAATGATACATCTTGAGAATAACACGAACAGCTTCTTTCCAAGCAAGGAGTGAAAGAGCTTTTTAAAATCCATTTTGTTCCTTTCACCATTCTATAAATTATGTATAACCAAAGCAGCTACATAAAAGAAACTATTAGAGCTGACTAGCAGAGACAAATGAAAGAAGTCTCAATCAATAGAAAATACAATGTTCTCTCAGTGTGACAAAACTACAACCACAGCACAAAGTCCCAGCCTCCCTCCACGCCTACAGCCGTTAGCAGGACTGCCAGCATCATTCAACTGCAACAGCAAGACAAAGCCAACCTTTGCATCGGGTTGTTAGGATTCAGCTCTCACTCTTGCTGAAAACAGACTGCTCAATCAACAGCCCACCCAAGTTCACTGCCACCTTGCAAATCCTGGGCATGCTCTGACCTCCTCTAGAGGCTGAATACTAGTTGAATCCACCCCAAGATTCATGGTTACAACTATGAGGTGAATTCAACTCCATTGCCTGCTGCAGCAGCTCTTAGCATCCACTTTGATGAAAGCAAGTGCCCTAAAATATTGCCCGGCTGGAAGAGAGGCAGAATGTAACAGAAAAAAATGGGGTTTGTCCCAGGGAAAGTGAGTTTGTTGCATGTGTTGAGGCTGAGAGTGAAGACTAGGTTCATTTTCACCAGACATTGGAAGAGAGAAGCAATATTGAAATGTGAGGGAAGCTGAGTAAAATCCATGTTTATTATTTAAAATCAAACCTCATCAACCTGAATCAAAGCAAGTTCAAAGCTTCGGGAACGTGGGGAAAAAAAAAAAAAATCACATCCCAGCTGGCCTCAGTATGAAAGCCAGCTCCCTGCTATGAATGCAATTATGGAATAAAGCATCATTTTTGGTTTAGTTTATATTTCTTTGGACTGCTATGCAACCGCCTACAGAAAAAAACTGTTACTTGCACATGCCACTTTGGGTATAGTAACAGAGGCAAAGGCTCACAAACCACTCAAGTGGGCAAAATTAGGGCTTTTACTTTGTGCACGTCCTGAGAAGGATTTTACAAGCACATAAGAATCTTTTAACCTGAACAAGAATCCTTTAACCTGAACAAGAATCCTTTAACCTGAACATAGCCAAAGACTTAAGCACAGACAAACATGGAAAACTGAAGCCAAAACCAACACCCGAGTTTGAGTAAGGCTCAAAAACAAGGATTAAAGGGGAAATGCATGTTTCTTCTTACTCCCTATATTGAATGAACACTTAAGACAAAAGTGGGAAGAGGATGATTCCCATTTTATGCTTGCAACATCTTGGATCCATTACAAAGGATTTCTGTGTTCAAGCTAAAGAAGGCTGTAGTCAACAGAAGCTTACAAAAGGCAAGTCACTTGGTGTACTCCTACTCCAATCTATTTGTTTGTGTTTATCTCTGGTTGCTATGTAAGAAACAAGGAAAATCTGTTGGGTTAACATTTTTCTTGACAATGTTACTCAGCATCATCCAGTCTTTCTTGTTCCCCAAGGTACTAACTGCAGACAGAACTGAAACACAGAACTCCTTTTCACCCTGCTTCTTGCAGGTTTGCTGCTTCAAATTAACCATATTCACACACATCTAGATAAGCACCATCACAGATAGGAGAACATCACTGAATGGCAACATCCCAAATGTGCATACACACAGAGTCCACCCCTGCTCAAATATATTTTCAGTATCAACCAAAATTCAGTAACTAGGAAATTAGAGTTAATGCTTTATTATTGTTTTAATTTTCATAGTAAGCAAATCTCTATGACACAAAGTGCCAAATATTTTTGTTGTTATGGAAACCTCTGTTTAAACTGAAAGTTCAACTTTTCCAAGACAGTTAAAAAATGTATATGAAAAGCTGGGGTCTCCATATTATACAGAACGGAATTAGCTCACTTTCCCCTTTGCTTTGATAGGGAAAAACTGAATGAGTCCGGAGAGATCTCAGTACCTCTACACAGAATACCTGGACAAAGCTTGGATTTAATTAATTTCTTATGAAATATCAAACTGCTTGTATAGTAGGTAACTTACTTGCATAAAACTAAAAGTTACATGAGATTGCACAATAATTTAGACTGGGAAAAATTTCTGGAAGTTTCTAGTCCAACCCCCTGTCAAAGCCAGTACAGAATTTGTCCAGTCAAATTTTGAGTAACTCCAGAGGATAGAGCTGACTTGCACCAAAATAAATTAGACTGAACCTCTCAATTCACAGCGGAATATATATGCCACTTCAGACTGTAACAAGCCTTAAAGAGCTTGTAGAGCTCTTCTTACAGAGATACAGCTCAATATCACAGTAATCACAAGAACCCTTGTCACTATGTAGACTCAATTCAAAGAAAAGCAGATATCTAGGTCATTTCTGAACACGATTGGTGTCCTTTTCCTTTTCAAGATTCTTAAACTATTTGGTACGATTAGCTGCTCCATGATTAGCCCCAGCTTCTCCAGCCTTAAGGCCTGTCTCACTTTTAGTCAGGACCTGCGATACCGCTCACATAAAGCCAGCCAGACGTGCACTGCCACTGAAACAGATGGTCCTGTCCCTGGAAGGGACTTCCCACTCTTCAGTCATCCTTGTCTGTGCTGACACAGGCATTTATGTGACTGCTTGGTGAACCAAATGGGAGGGAGCTGGGCCAGCTAAACACGAGTTCAACTATTTTTTTTAAATATTCTTACCCAGATGAGTTCCCCCACCCTGTTCACTGCGTGACTGTAACAAACAGATGTGCTGGAAGAGAGGAACAGATAGTGCAGAGCCCAAAACAAGTGGTGGAGGAAGAGAGTAGGTGGGATTGGTTCCTTTGAAAGCAGTACTTGCTTATGCCTAAAGTGTTCATCAAATTACAGGCCTTACGCTCTCTGACATCCTACTCAACTCCACCAAAGTACTTCTAAAGTCTTATCTTTAGCAATTGCCTTTTAATCTGGAGCTCACAAAAGTGAAGCAAACTACACTGAGGATAAGCAAGGCTGGTTTTGAGAAATGGACTGAAAGTACAAGTACCTGACTGGGTCTCACTGGAGAGGGACAAGACTCCAGTTGCTTGTCTACCTCTTTCACCTCTTGCTGGGGACGCTGCTGCAGGATATACTCGTACGTAGTCAATTTGTTCCACACTGGGAGGAAAGAAAGAGCCGTCAGTGCAGGAAAGGCCACTCCCTGATTACACTTACACAAACAGTCTCAATAACTATACAATCAGATAGTAACTATAAACATGAAAAGACTGATACTCTGAGCCAAAAGTACCTTTGCACTGTACATCTTACTATATCCTTTATTTGTCATCGTCACAACACATTTCTTAGTCTTACTACTCTTCTACAGTCATACATGGCACAGCTTTCTATACTGTAGTAATTTCTTCAGCTCATTTCAGAGCAAATCCATTATTCACACCCAGTAAGGGTAAAATCTGTATTGTACAGAAAGCTCAGTGAGTAGTCAGAAGGTATGTGATGCTAAACAGAGAAAAGAAAATCAGCCGGTTAATGTGTCCTGTAGAGGAGATTGAGACATTTAATGTCCAAAACAGTGAGCATCAAATGCACAGCTTGCCTCATGCCAAACAGATATGTCCAGAGTTTATATGTGCCTGAGTGCATGTGCTCATAAGGTCACACACACAAACACATCTGCTCCCATGAATGACCAAAAGCAATGTGACATTTCTGAGCAGCTTGGTTTCTTCATAAGACCCAAAACATTACAAGGATCCAAAACTCAGACGTTCCTCCCACAGTGATCCTGTTATGGTAGGTATTTTTCGAGCACAAAACCCAGAAATGGATGCTGAAGGTTATTAGTGCACAGCCTGGTAGTCATTCTTCCTTTTTACAGACTCATAGTAGTCAAAGCAGACACCTAGGATGCGGAACATCGAGACTAAAGTCCTTCCTCTGCCTGAAGACATTTGTACGAGTAAAACACTACCTCTCAAAACCATGCCCTAAACAAGGAAGTGGGAGAGAGCAGAGAAGGTGCCCCTTCTGCTAAAGCAATGACCTTATGAAGAAGTAAGAATTCAAGATCCATTTGGCCAGGAAGACAGAGCATAAAAATTAAAATAAGTCTGCAGCCAAGTGATTGGTGAATGTACTTAACAGGGACAGTGCAGGGTGCTGGCAAATGCTCCTAGAATGGTAGCATGTGCTTTATTTGAGAAACAGAACATTGCTTCATAAGCAAAGGCCTATGAATCATTTCTAATTTAGAGTTTGCTGGTTTCTGAATACTTAACAGTGTAACTTTTAAAGTATTTTAATAGAGCTATTTAGTTAAAAAATACTGCATTTTTCTGGCCAGATCACACTGCAGCACATACTGTGCAATATATAATCATAGTTTGTGGAGAGCCCATATGCTTTCCTATATTCCTTTCCTATACTCCCTACTATTTTTTCCTTTTTATGCTGCTTACTATTGGCCTCTCAGTATTGAAGAAAAAAAAAAAATCCTCCCTCCAAATTTATGAAGTGCCATGCTTCAATGAATGCCTCTAGAACTGAGTCTCAATCAAGACTGGTAATTTTGAATACATGGGTATACTATTTTGAGAATAACCTACTTCCTTCCTTTTGAGTGACAGCAGTGAGTAATTAAAATGAGGGCAGTAATTCTGAAAATTTCACTGTGCTTGTAACAAAACCAGATTCTAAAATTTTCATAGTCATACCTGACTTAAGCCAGGTTTTTTAATGTGAAGCTTAAAGTCAGTAACACTTTTTTCTTTCTGCAATTTAATTATTTTAAAGAAAAAAGTTTTATGAAGAAATACTCATGAATATATTTTAATTGGTAGACTAGTCCCAGAAGAGGTTATAGACAGTTCATTCCAATACTGACTATCTTAAAGCATTCAGATGAGACTATTGACAATTACAGCTGTGAAATAAGAGAAATTTAAACCAGACATACTCTGTCTATCTCCCTGAATCCCAGTTCTAAGTTGGATATTCATATATATAGGCTTCAATATGGTAACGTTGCTCCTTTTAAGCAAGGACTTACACACCACACTTCTGCACAGCTGGAACCAGTTTCAATAGAGTAGCAGATTTTAATGTAATAAAATGTAAGCAAAAATTAACAATAATTAAATTCTGTTTCCATGTCAGCCATAAAGATCTAAAATTGTGCCGGAAATAAAAGTTAGTTTGGCTCGAAATTTATTCTGAAAGAGGAAAAAAAAAATCACCCCAAGACAACCAACAAAAAAATCCCCCAAACCCAGACCAGAACTAGTGTGACACGTGCATGTTTCTGTTTGACAAGAGAAAGCATGTCTTTATCCCAAGGAGGGAGCACCCTCTTGTGGAAGTTGTACACAAAGACGGGATAAATACCGCTCAGTACTAAACCAAACAATCCTTTCTTTTTTTATCCAAAAGAGATCTTGGAGCGGCCCCAGCTTTGTTATGCTTTCAGTCGTTCTAGAGTGCTAGATCGACCGTTGGAATCTCCAGGCATCGCCATTAACCCCAGCAAAATCAACTTTCAGTTCCACCAAGAAAGCAAAATTACAGCGTGACCAAATTTAAGGTTAAACTCAAAGAGACTGTAAAAGGAAAACAACATTCAATGACCTCAGTGACCATAACGTTAACGCCAACTGAGGAACACTCACCCATAAAATGCTACATTTCAGCAGTGCAACTATTTTGCTTCTGGAGCTGCACTGGTTTGTGCTGACCTAGTTTGTGTTGGCATCTGCATCGCTGTTAACTGACAACCAAAAATCCATCCAAGGATCCTCTGTAACCGCCGTCCTCATTTCTCTTCCACCACATCCCTTCTTTCCTAGTTTTGGCACCACTGACTACTGCAAGTATAAGATCTTTTCTCATCATGATTTACGTCAGGCAGCCAAATAGCATTGGCTCTGTATTAAACGATGGCTGAAAAAAAGGTTTTTGATGCCCATCTGTACACAAACAATCATAAATATCCCTTCCTGACTGAGCAACAAGTAGGAGCCTTTCTGAAAACTTCCTCTTCTGAATTCCACAAGTCTTTTTGCAGAGATACAGTACAACTTCCATAAAGGGACCTTGACCTGGACGTCAGGCCTCCTATTAGAAATTTAGCTCACTATCATGCACATTTCTATGGGGTAACAAAGAAACAGGCTCTCTCACACAACAGAAGTACTGAGGAGCACAGTGAAGAGACTCACAAAAGCCCGTATGAGGAGCCAGTCTGAATGTGCCATTGCTGGCATTGAGCTGGAATTAATCAGTTCATCCCACCTGGCCTCTCTACCCCTCTACCACATGCTTTAATTTCCAGGATAACAGCTTAGACACATGAATGCACAGGCCCAACATAAGCCCCATATTGCACATGCAGTGATAAGCCTATCTGGTACTGACGGGAAAACAGATTTTCTACCTTTTCAACAGCAATCTTATACAACGTGTGTGCATTTGTGACATGGGTAAACACACAGTGAATGCAGAACGAGTAGAAGTTAAGTGAAAATGAAATGGGGATGCAGATGACAAGAACATAATACCTACTAAGATAGATGTGAAAGGTCAAGAGGTGGCCTAGCAGGATCACGGTCAGTAGGCTCAGAAGAATAAAAATCCCAGCTGTGACCAAAATGGCAGATGCCCGAGTCTCAACAGGAGCCGCAGGAAGAAACACAAACCAGCGGTCTGTGTGGTTCTCTAGAGCTGTAAAACAAAAAGAGTTGGAAGTAAGTAGATTATCCAGGTATTAAATTTCTCTAAGCTCTACAGCTGGAAATATGGCAAACTTAAACATAGCTGCAGACCCATTATGCACTGGAGGCCTCAGAAATCTTGCATCTGCAGGGTCTTTAGGAAGAGCAGTTAGCTCTGTAAGAAAAGACATTCTGTCCAGCTGAGCAGAGATACCCTTGCAGAAATATGAAATTAAAGGAGTAAGGAATGGAGTTGCTCCTCAGTGGGAGAGCTAACAGAATCCAACCCCATATCAAGATATGCTGGCTGATTCACAGGATGCTCAACTGAAGCACTGCTAGTACCATTGAAGTGCTGGTCGGAGCGAAGCATCGTGGGGTCGATGAAGAACTCCACAAAGATGTAGCAAGCAACCAGCAGCAGAAGCCCAAGGCCCAGAATGGCAGACAGCACGCTATTCAAAAAGAGCCTGCCAAGAAGGTGAGAAGTCTGAGTATCTTCAATAACATCACACAATAAATTCAAAATCCCGACCTCTAATAAAGACAGAGATACAGACAGCTATCACAAATTCCTGTGACGTTTCCTTACACTTACGACACTGGTTAACAGTCTTACTTTTGATTTGTCACCTTGACTAAAATGTGACCCTTTAGAGCAACTGTGGGTACAAAACAGTCAAGTATATCTGGACAGACAAAGAGCTCCCCACACAAAATCTGAAGGCACTGTAACATGGCACCCAACAGTAACAACTCTTTGATTTCCACGTGGTTTTCATGAAGGAAATTAAACTGAGAAACAATAGTCAGTGATACCCTCCTTATACTTTATCTTAAACCTGGCACAGATTAGAGGTATACCTATATGCTGCTGTAATTCTTGCCAGTTGGCAAGTCTTGTAGGGAAAGCATGCAATCTAGATGCAGGTTGTTTCAGAGACAGCAACAGCAGGATCATGGTTCTATTCCCGCTCCAGCTCACAGAAGCATTAAGGACACACAATTAACATCTCATAAGCTTTTCCTAATACCAAATAATAAGATTATGTTCTCTGTATTTACTCGTAGATGTTCAGCTACAAAATTCTAAGTGTAAAAGTTTTATCCCTGATTATTTGAATGACATAATCATGCTTGCATTTTCTGTCTAGTTTTCTCATGACTGATTTTATTCAGCCAGGGTCTAAAACAAAAGTGGTTCTGTGTGTCTGAGTACAGACTGGACTGAGACGCAGGAGAATCTTGGGAGGAGAAGGGGCAACATTATTAAAGCCGTGTTGCACTCCTGTCACAATGCCAGGCTCTTACCAGTAATTTCTCTCTCCTACACAGTTGTTGAGCCATTTGCAGTGGTGATCAAAGCCACACACACACTTGTTGCAAGTTCCACAGTGCTTTGACTTGGCACCCCTGTCAAAGAAAGGGTGGCGTTAGCATGGCAGCACCAGCTCATTACCACGACTTCCCAGTGACACAAATCCAGGGGGACACAGCAGTAAAGATCCTAGTAAGAGTGAGAAAACCTTCTACATCAGGAATACTTCAACACCCAAACATATCAGCCATATTGGCTGTCGCTGCACCACAATCCCAACCACTGCAAAATTTGCCTTTCAATGCACTGCATGATTTCTAATTTGGAGATCACCAATTTCTTACTTGAAACTCTTCAGCAGTTCTACAAAGCTGGATCTTAATGTCTGTCCTCCAAGTATTTCCTACTACCATATTAGCATCTAGCCAGATACAGGCACACATGCACAAGCTACACGTCGTTAGGTCAAACACCAACATCCAGGTAGCACGGAACAGTACGGTCCTCTTCACACAACACAGGAGCAATTAAACACAACACAGAACCATGCACACATTTGACAGCAGGCACCTACCCAACTAACTGAACCCTGCCACGGGATGAAGTTTAACTTGTGCTATAGAGCTTCAGGCTCAACGTCAGCCTTGCAGCCTAACATTAAAGAGTAATGGTGAAGTGTAACAGTGAAGAAGACACAGTAGTAGAAAGAAAAGAGGAGATACTTACACATCTACATCACAGACATGGCAATGATGGTTTTCAATGACATGTGCATGTTGATTACGATTGAAGGTGGCCAGAGGCCCTAAATAGTTTTTTTCTCGCACATTTGCATCCGCAGGATCAATGGAGACTGCAGTAAGATGAACAACTAAATGGTAGATAAAACACACTCCTGGACACTGAAGTACACAGTTAAGGATTGTATGAGTGATTTAATGCATATATTTTTACCCTTAATACACAAAGCCCACAGATAAGAGATACAGACTTAGAATTAGAAATCACTATATTACTGATTGCAGCACATTAATCTGAACTTTATTAATGGAGACATTTGTGCTGTAATAAATATCCTCTAGAACAAGATAACTACATCTCCAGGAACAACTCTTCTTATTTCGTACAACTCTGCCTCACAGAAATGTCCTTCCTACCACAGGAGTTTTTAAAAATTACCTTAACTTACCAGAATCTGACCCCATGTGCAGACTATTGACACAGGTCCACGTTTCTTAGTCCATACAGACTCCTTGGAAAGGAACAGTCAGTTAAGGCTGTACACACGTCCCTTCACAAGACTAAACTTCCAAGAAAGAAAAAAAAAGTCACATCAAGGAATTAGTACTCATCACCTTGCTTTCCTTAGTCAGAATCCCAAGGAAGAGGATCACCCCTTTAAAGAAGGCTCCTATACAATTTACAGACAGACAGTATCCAGGATTTAATATTGTTTCTTGAAATATTATGTTTGGATTCTTACAGTAGCAGATACACTTTAGCAGGACTTTTGATCAGACACCTGAAGTAACTGCTGATATTTGGAAAGAATATACGAATACATAAGAATACATAAATACAAAGCAGCAGCCCAGTGTGCCTGGAGTAGCATTGCACTTGAAAGTTTGCTTCTCAATATACTGCAACTGAATGAGCCTGCATGCAAAAATTAACCTTCCAGTTTATTTGTTATACACACAGATGTGCATGTCATTGATCATACTAAGGCCTGTGGAAAACAGGGCAGTGTAGTACAGGAAAAAAAAAAGAGGTCTTTGAGACGTCTAGCTGACTGGAGTTCTCATGACTGGTGTAGCACTACAGGAAGGGATTTGCCTTTGACACAAAAGAGACATTAGTGCTTTGTTAACTGGTAGTAAAACTTTGGGATACATTAATCTGTTGAATTAGACTGACTTTAGAGTGAGTTATGAAGATATTTGGTAGACAAATTCACAAGGTTTGAACTGTGATAATACCAAGGATTTGGGTAAAATAAGTAGATGCAAGACCACTGTGAGCTAATGATATTAATGCCTAAATCACCCAGGTGTAACGAAAACAATGACAAGCAAAAGCATCCCAAACATATCAAAGGCTCCAAGGACATACATAAATCAGATGTATAAATGATGTAAGTGTATATCCCATCTCTTCAGAACTTTCCCCAAGATTATCTCTATAATATTTCTTGGTTATCTGATTCTGGTAAGAAAGCAGTAAGTGGCACTGAACTATTTTATTTTCACCAGGAAGATGTCACCAGAGAGATGACAAAAGCAAACACTTGCTCACAACTTATAAACCCTCAGCAGATTGTTAAATACTAAATTCTATCTCAGGATACACACTTCCAGTCTGTCACTCTCCAGACAATCTAGTCTACCAGAAGCCAGGACCTGGCCCTGAGGAAGTTCCTTCCCTGGGCACAGATGACAGTACAAGGTGGCACTGGGAGCACTGGGATTGCTCCCCAGCACACCCCATCTCTGGTCCCTCTCCTTCCAGAAGCAGCAAGCACATGCAGCTCTAGGGAGGTGGGTTGAGGACAGGAGGTGGAAAACACATAGGGCTGGTCTGAGTTAGGCTTTGCTGGGCAGCACACAAGCCAAGATGCCTTTTCAGTATAAGCACCTCATCTTCTGATACTGCCTACATTTATAGGACAATTAGACATGTATTAAACTGCTGCTCAAGACTGTCCCACGATAGAGTACTCCTCTGAGGTTCACACTACACCACCTTGTCTTTCACTCACAGATTTTCTACAGAGGACAGGGGAGGGTCCTGGGAGAAGATCAGTGGCCAGATATCACAAGCAACCACACCGCATAATCATAAACATATAAAGCTGCCTTCCAGGACTCAGTCAGTCAAGCAAGATGGCTGCCCATCGTGGCAAGGATGTTTCAGGAGAGGCTTTTTTAGTATGACTACCCTCAAATCCTGCAGCACACTTGTAGAAGAATAATATAAAGCAAAGGAGACACATAGGCAGAAGTAGAAAGCAGAAGAGACGATGAAGACAATCAGAACATTAGTGACCTACCTAAAGCTGAAGGGCAGAGAGGATTCAAAATAACTGGTTTTTATAGGCAGGAGAAGATCAAGATTATGGTTATATTTCACAAAAAGATTCTGGCTGAGCTGCTTTCTCCTATGCTTTCTATGCTACCTAACAACTATTTTTTAAAATTCCCAGTGACAGTTTATTACAGTCTGTGTTCTCCTCTTGACCAAAGGATACGATATAGCCAGCAGGCAGCCAGTGGCGGGGCAGGAGAGGAACCAGGATTCCAAAGCCAACCAGTGCAAAGAAGAGGTACAGCAACCAGGCAGTAATCTGGAAAAGGTGCAGAGGCCAGCTCCAGCCATTCCTTCGAGCGCGTTGGACCTGCACCTCAGGAACAGCTTCACCCAAATTCTCTGGAGCTGTCTTATTAGGAGGTTTATTGCAGATATTCATCTACAGAAATCAAAAATGGAAAACAAAAAACATGTGATACAAAAATATTGTGACTGAGCCACGGTCCTGGAGATATGCTTCAAGGTGGATAGAAAGTTGGAGAAACTAAAACGACGACACATCTGAGGAGAGACTTCTCTCTGCAAAGGGGATTTATCATCCATAGTAACAAAAGGGAAAAAACAATTACACGCTCTAAAAGCAAGTGTTGATGTCTGCGTGAAACAACAATGTCCCAAACTTTCAGCTATGGGAAACTTGCAGGTTTTGCCAGTCTTTAAATGGATCCAGACCTCAGTTGAGTAAAAAGAGAAAAAAGGGTATTTTGGTGGCAGTCTGGAGATGGAGTATATGCTCTGGTCTGGGGATGTGTTCATGTCAGAACACTGTCATGGATGACTGCAGAACAAAGGCTTTCACCTGTCTCAGATATGCCATGTTTTTCTTCCAGTTAGTGCAGAGAAGTGTAGTGAGAGCGGGTGGCCCCACTGGAGCACGTGGTCTGGAACCGTAGTCATTGCACAGCATCCAAGAAAACAGAGACTCCTTTGTCAGCAACAAAGGAAGTGGAAAGAGTAGAAGTTGAAAAAGTGAACTTTAATGACAAAAAGGGGAAAAGAAGCAGGAGTTACTCTATAACATAAGTATAAAGCAGACTGTTCCTAGAAGAACAGAACAGAAAGTTACATAGGCAGGCCATTCATGCAGGAAGCAGCTTGATTATTCAGCTGTCCTACAATGTCTGGACTCCTGGCAGGAGAAAGCAAGATTTAGATGCTGAGTTAGGAACCATAACATGGAAAGTTCCTGATGTTTACGATTCCTCTTTGCACAGCTACGAGCTCAGAAGCAATTTCTTCTTTTTTCAATTCGTGTTGGATTATTAGTTGTTGCTTTTCGTTTGCTATGGACCCAGGAGGAGCTTTTAACAGAGCTACTCTGCTTCATGGAAAACTTGGGTGCAACAGATACTAGGGAGTACAATACTGGCAGCAGGTCAGGGGTAGCGCTGCAAAATCAGCATAACAAAGCTCTGCTGGACCTGAGCTGACTCAAGGTATCTCTGCACCATGCTCACTGTTCCTTAGTAACTAAAGAGGATGTTAAATTAACATCTAACAGGGATAAGCAACTTCAATTAGTCTGATTAACCTGCACATGAGCATGCTGAAAGAATAGCAGGAGGTCTCTAGCTCACTTGTGCTATTTTTGATAAAAGTACCAATACCAGAAAAGTGCCAAAAGGCTGGAAGACAGCAAGCATGACAACATGCTGAAAGAGCGAGCAGAATGATTCAGATCTTGGTAACATGGTGGTCCTGCCTCAGTCCCAGGCAAAGGGCTGGAAATGTCTTTTGTGGTTAACTGGTAGAGAAGTAGTGGGTAAGAATACAAAAGAATGTCATTTATGCTCATCGGCACAGTCTTATCAACAAGCAGACTGGAAAAAAAAAATCCTAACTTCAGCCTTTGAAGAAATTAGCATTATCCACCTGCATTAAATTGCTACATGGCAACCTGCTCTTCAACCATGAGCAACAGTTACTAATCATGTGACACTTTTAGCATTAGGTTGCTTGCACATCACTCTGAGCTACCTGTTATGAAAACCACTCCGATTACTTTAAGAAATTCCCAGCTTTCTCCTTTCTCCTAATCAGACCCTGGCCAGGGGAGCCAGGCCCGCCCAGACCCTGGAATCCGTTTTGCTGCAAGATTGTGCTGTTTTGTAACACCAGATGGTTTTAAAATTATGTTAATGTCAAAAACTTCAGTACAACTCAACAGAATTTTTTACGTGGTGAAAGCTAGTGTAAGCTACTCCTGGCTGAGCTATAGCTAAGGCCCACAGCATCATCCCACAGCAGTGTCTGTCTGGTAACAATCTCTCACGAAGGAGGAAAGTCGCCTGTAACGTTTCATCTGCCCCATTTCAGAAGTAAAGTTCCCTTGCCTGTCCCTTACAACTCGATGGCTTCTCTTGCAGTTGACACACCGATTATCTGCCAAGACTGATGAAAAACAAAGCTATATGTAAAGAGAATTAAGTCTACAGCAATCTCCCCGGTGCAGTGCCCCGTGCTGTGGGTACACCCGGCACTCCGTTCTACTCAGCTACAGAAAACACCGAATATAAAAAACAGGGCACAAAGTCACCATCAGGGCTTACCCAGTCAGAGTAAGCCGTAGACAGAGGCGAGGTAACTGAGTTGACGCTGGTTAACTATATTAGTTAACTATAAGTCAGCCGGGAGTTATCAGGCTCACCCCCTTCGGATGCTCAACCCCAGGAGAGCCGAGCGCCGGCCCGCGGGAGGGAGCACGCAACGGGCCGCACCGGAGGCCGGGCCGGGCCAACGGGGTCCCGGGCAGCTGCTCTGGGAGGGCCGGTCAGACCCCTCCCGCGGCTCCACCACTGCCCTTTCCTCACCTTCTCCCCGCAGAGGCGGTTGAGAGCGGCCCCGTACCCGCCTCATGCCCGGGCGGGTAACGGGGCCCCGCTCTGAGGCCGGCGCGGCGGCTCCCAGCGCCTCCAGCGGGCTCAGGCCGCTGGGCCCGTC